TAAAAACTCATGCTCAAGTTAAGCTCGTCAACTCACTTCAACTTCCCTCCGCTGTTGTTGTTGTTGTTGCTGCTGCTGCTGTTGCTGTAATACGACCCCGGTCTGTAACGGCATCTGCGCTTGCGGCAACTGAAACAACTACTGTTTTGCTGACATCCAAACTCATTTCAGGTTTGAGGTGGCCGCTATTATGTAGATAGATATTGTCGTACGCTGGAGTTGTGTCTGTTCGCTGGTTCCCTCGTTTTACATTTCCTCACCCCCCCCCCTCCCTCTGTGAACGGCGCGATCAAATCTTATACAAGTACTACTTCGGTAGTTGAAGTTAGCATTCGCTGGGTGGCGAGCAGCCAAATTTGTAAAAAAAGTGGTAGATAGTTGGGAAAAATTTGTCAGATGGAAGGATGATCCCAAGATGGGGAAAGGTGGAGGAGCATATTTCGCGAACATACCCCTCAGTGACAAGAGGTCCCTTTTTAAGCACTCTTTTTCGACTTTTAATCAAAACTTTCAAGCTGTGGATGAAGAAGGAGTGCTCGCGGGCCAGAATGAGAGGCGAAATAATTAAACAGTTTCTTAATTCAGTAACTGTTTTAGAGCCCCGGAAGACTTAAGGTGTCAGCGGTCCGGCGATTAAATCTCGGATCGGCTCCCGCTCAGGCCAACCAAACCTTCTAGAGCCCAGGGACGGCAAATTGGTACCAGATCCGTCTGGGAGGATAATAAATAATACTGGCTTACATATAGATTCGCCTCCGTAAGTTATTGTACAGGAAGCACCGCATTCACTAATCTACTAAGATTCTGAATGGATGGCCAAATCTCAGAAAGGGTTCGATCAACGGTGAAACCTTACTCTTCAAGAAGACCCACAGCCTTTACATGTGAAATTTCAAGAACTTCTATATTCTGTATCATATAAGACTACGGCAGCTAAGCATATGGTAATCCAGTCAGAAAAAAAATCAAAAAGAAATAGCAGCCAAAGCCGAACTCCACACAAACCACAACAGCAGTAAAAAATGACACCTAAAACCCAAACCCACCTGTGATGGCTCGTTTATGATCTGCTGTTGACCGCCATTTTGCTGTTGTTGTGGTGGTGATGATGTGCTGTTTGGCTGTTGCGTTTGATGATGATTGGTGGGATGTTGAGACTGCGGCACCAACGCGTAGCTGGGCGTTGCTTGACCGTAAGCGATCGGTGGATGGTGTATGGAACAAGGTTGCGTCGGTGATGAATAGATGCAGGACTGGCACATCATCGACTGAAATAATGTCAATAGCAAAGACAATTCACGACGAACAAAAAACAATGCTAGATGTTTAAATCAATAATCTGAGCCGACACATTTGCCTGATAATATCAGTCTGCGCAAGGGATTTGAATATAACACGAGCGGATTACTAGTAAAGCTCTTTAGCTTGTCTTTCTCCCCACTCCCACATGTTCTCTCCCGTCATTTTGGTGCATTCTTTGCCTTATTGTGTCAGCGACGAGTTCACGAACTCATAACCGTTTCAATCAGTTACCAGCTCGGTTTTAGTGTCATTTCTTACTGCGTTGTTTCGGTTTGCTGCTGGAGTTCGCTTGGCTGCTATTTCTTTTTGATTTTTTTTCTGACTGGATTACCATATGCTTAGCTGCCGTAGTCTTATATGATACAGAATATAGAAGTTCTTGAAATTTCACATGTAAAGGCTGTGGGTCTTCTTGAAGAGTAAGGTTTCACCGTTGATCGAACCCTTTCTGAGATTTGGCCATCCATTCAGAATCTTAGTAGATTAGTGAATGCGGTGCTTCCT